AGTCGCCAACTCGCAGTGAAGTGCCCGCTGGGATGTGCCCAGCGGTCAGCGCCACCGCGGCCGCGCCGGCGGCGCCAAACTAGCTGGCCGCTGCGCGCGCGTGCTAGGGTTGGCGCGGCCGCAGAGACGCACCAGCCAACGCCAAGCATGCATCGCAATCGCCACCGCATGGGCTTTGCAAGCCAAGTTGCGAGTGGGCGGGTGGGATGTTCGAGCATGGGATGTGTCAACTCGCTTGTTAAAATCACTTGCACTACATAGATTATTCTTTTCAAAAAATTGGCTCTACCCCACCCCTGGATTATCGACACCCCTGTTCGCATTGCAGTGTACAAGCGATCCAGCCCCATCGTTCATCCTAAAAATGCATTCGTACATCCCAGCCCAACCAGTATCTCCCCCCCCCCCCCCCCCCCCCGCCATCCTCTGCAAATAGTATGCGCGCACTCGTTTATCGAAAATCATAGGTTGTCAAGAATCCCCTGCAACAAATGAGACGAGGTGCACACGCCTGCGTCGTCGCGCGAGCATGCCAAAATCCGTCGAAAACCTTCGGCGCCGTAAGAATGTTTGCAACAAGTGTTTCACAACACAGGTTTTCAGAACAAGAACGTGCGCGCGCGTTCTTGCGAATTCGCGCGGGAGCCATCAGTTGTTCCACATGCTCATCAACTGCTGCCAAAAGGGCTTCGCGCGCGCATGTCGAAATCGGTCGAACGCCCTTGCGCGCGTGCCGTCGCGAGAATCAGGAGCAACCAACAAAACGAAATGCACGCGCGCGCGTCGTCGCGCGCGCGTGCCGACATCCGTCAAACAACCGACGGTTACGTGGCGAATTCAAAACTGAGCGCAAAAAAAAAAAAAACATGCGAGAACACATGTTTTCGCAACATCAGTTTTTCCCAACCATCCTGCGGTGTTGGGTCCTCGTTTTGAAGAGACAGCGCCCTGCGTTCACTCCTTCCTCCCGCTGCCCCCTCCCTCGTCGCCGCACCCATTTCGGCACGCCCCTCACACGCTTCGTTGCCCCATAGGGAGCTCCACCGAGGGCCCCAGTGGCTCCGTTGGCATGGCGGCACCGCACCCATTTCGGCACACCCCTCACACGTTTCGCGGCCCCATAGGGAGCTCCACCGAGGGCCCCAGTGGCTGCGTTGGCATGGCGGCACCGCACTCAATTCGGCACACCCCTCACACGCTTCGTGGCCCCATAGGGAGCTCCACCGAAGGCCCCAGCGGCTGCGTTGGCATGGCGGCACCGCACCCATTTCGGCACACCCCTCACACTTTTCGTGGCCCCATAGGGAGCTCCACCGAAGGCCCCAATGGCTGCGTTCGCATGGCGGCACCGCACTCATTTCGGCACACCCCTCACACGTTTCGTGGCCCCATAGGGAGCTCCACCGAGGGCCCCAGTGGCTGCGTTCGCATGGCGGCACCGCACCCATTTCGGCACACCCCTCACACGTTTCGTGGCCCCGCAGGAAGCTCTACCGAAGGCCCAAGTGGCCGCGGTCGCATGGCGGCACCGCACCCATGTCGGCACACCCCTCACACGTTTCGTGGCCCCTGAGGGGGCTCCACCGAGGGCCCCCGTGGCTGCGTTGTCATGGCGGCACCGCGCCCATTTCGGCACACCCCTCACACGTTTCGTGGCCCCATAAGGAGCCCCACAGAGGGCTCCAGTGGCTGCGTTCGCATGGCGGCACCGCGCGCATTTCGGCACACCCCTCACACGGTTCGTGGCCCCATAGGGAGCTCCACCGAGGGCCCCAATGGCTGCGTTCGCATTGCGGCACCGCACTTATTTCGGCACACCCCTCACACGTTTCGTTGCATAGGGAGCCCCACCGAGGGCACCAGTGGCTGCGTTGGCATGGCGGCACCGCGCCCATTTCGGCACACCCCTCACACGTTTCGTGGCCCCATAGGGAAATCCATAAAGGGCTCCAGTGGCTGCGATCGCATGGCGGCACTGCGCCCATGTCGGCACACCCCTCACACGCTTCTTGGCCCCATAGGGAGCTCCACCGAGGGTCCCAGTGGCTGCGTCAGCATGGCGGCACCGCGCTCATTTCGGCACACCCCTCACACGCTTCTTGGCCCCATCCGGAGCTCTACCGAAGGCCCAAGTGGCTGCGGTCGCATGGCGGCGCCGCACCAATTTCGGCACACCCCTCACACGTTTCGTGGCCCCTGAGGGAGCTCCACCGAGGGCCCCAGTGGCTGCGCTCGCATGGCGGCACCGCACTCATTTCGGTACACCTCTCACACGTTTCGTGTCCCCTTACGGAGTCCCCTCTCATTCGTTCAGCCTGCCTTGCGGTACTCGTAGCTGCATATGGTTGGGCCCATCGCCTGGATAATGTTTGTCCCAACCATCCTGTGGTTTTGGGTCCTCGTTTTGAAGGGACAGCGCCCCGCGTTCACTCTCCCTTCCTCCCTCTGCCCCCTCCCTCCTCACACTATCACAGCACACCCCTCACACGCTTCGTGGCCCCATAGGGAGCTCCACCGAGGGCCCCAGCGGCTGCGTTGGCATGGCGGCACCGCACCCATTTCGGCACACCCCTCACACGCTTCGTGGCCCCATCGGGAGCTCCACCGAGGGCCCCAGTGGCTGCGCTGGCATGGCGGCACCGCACCCATTTCGGCACACCCCTCACACGTTTCGTGGCCCCATAGGGGGCTCCACCGACGGCCCCAGTGGCTGCGTTGGCATGGCGGCACCGCACCCATTTCGGCACACCCCTCACACGTTTCGTGGCCCCATAGGGAGCTCCACCGAGGGCCCCAGTGGCTGCGTTGGCATGGCGGCACCGCACACACTTCGGCACACCCCTCACACGTTTCGTGGCCCCATAGGGGGCTCCACCGAGGGCCCCAATGGCTGCGTTGGCATGGCGGCACCGAACCCATTTCGGCACACCCCTCACACGCTTCGTGGCCCCATAGGGAGCTCCACCGAGGGCCCCAGTGGCTGCGTTCGCATGGCGGCACCGCGCGCATTTCGGCACACCCCTCACACGTTTCGTGGCCCCATAAGGAGCTCCACCGAGGGCCCCAGTGGCTGCGTTGGCATGGCGGCACCGCGCCCATCTCGGCACACCCCTCACACGCCTCTTGGCCCCATAGGGAGCTCCACCGAGGGCCCCAGTGGCTGCGTTGGCATGGCGGCACCGCACCCATTTCGGCACACCCCTCACACGCTTCGTGGCCCCATAGGGAGCTCCACCGAAGGCCCCAGTGGCTGCGTTGGCATGGCGGCACCGCACCCATTTCGGCACACCCCTCACACGTTTCTCCACCGAGCCCACTGGCTGCGTTGGCATGGCGGCACCGCACCCATTTCGGCACACCCCTCACACGCTTCGTGGCCCCATAGGGAGCTCCACCGAGGGCCCCAGTGGCTGCGTTGGCATGGCGGCACCGCACCCATTTCGGCACACCCCTCACACGTTTCGTGGCCCCATAGGGGGCTCCACCGAGGGCCCCCGTGGCTGCGTTGGCATGGCGGCACCGCGCCCATTTCGGCACACCCCTCACACGCTTCGTGGCCCCATAGGGGGCTCCACCGAAAGCCCCAGTGGCTGCGTTCGCACGGCGGCACCGCACCCATCCCGGCACACCCCTCACACGTTTCGTCGCCGAGGGCCCAGGACAGCGCTTCGTGGCCCCATAGGGAGCTCCACCGAAGGCCCCAGTGCTACCGCCCGCATGCGTCCCGTACGCCCAGGACAGCGCTTCGTGGCTCCATAGGGAGCTCCACCAAAGGCCCCAATGCTACCGCCCGCAAGCGTCCCGCACGCCCAGGACAGCGTTTCGTGGCACGCCTTTCGTGGCCCCATAGGGAGCCCCACCGAAAGCGGCACCCACAAAGCGTTATTCACAATTGCATATGGTTGGGTCCTTCGCCAGGATAATTAAACATGTTGTTTTAATACAAAAAAGAAAAAACAAACGCGCGCTCGCGCTCTTGTTCCGAAGGCCATAGGTTTCTCAACCGGTTCATGGAATTCTGCAAAACAGGCCTCTCGCGCCGCATGCCGACATCGTTCACCCGCCCTTGCGCGCGTGCTGGGGGAGCACGGTCCGTGCCAAAGAATACCGCGCGGGCCACTCTCGCGCGTCGGCCGCGCGCGCATGTCGAACGCTTTCTAAAACCTTCACCACCGACGCGAAGACGCCGTCATCGTCGAGGGCGTGATCAACATCCGCGACGTCACTGGCCGTGCCGTCGTCGCTGTCAGCATCGACACCACCATCGCTACTATCATCACCGTGTTTACCGTTGTCGGCGTTGCCATGATACCGAACCCGCCAAGGTCGCCGAATCACACTGAAATCCCCAAAGGGATGTGCCCAGCAGTCAGCGCCACCGCGGCCGCGTCGGTCGCACCAAAGTAGCTGGACGCTGCGCGCGCGTGCATGCGCGGGCTGTCGCGGCCGCAGACATGCAGCAGCCAGCGCCGAGCACTCATCGCAATCGCCGCCGCATGGGGCTTGCAAACCAAGTTGCGGGTGGATGGGTGGGGTGTTTGCGCGAGCAGCGGAGTGGATAACTTCAATTTAAGCGCTGATGAACCACATAAGTTGCACCGCGTAGACTGCATCGCATAGGTTGCACCGCGCAGATTGCCCCACAAAGATTGCACCACACAGATTGCACCGCATATATTGCATTACACAGGTTTCACCGCGTAGACTGCACCACACAAACTGCACCGCATATACTGCACCGCACAGATTGCATTACACAGGTTGCATCGCAGACATCGCACCACATATATTGCAACGCATAGAATGCAAGAACCTACTGCTTGGGGTCCACGCTTGCTAACATTGATATCCCTTCTTATTTTCAAGATCAAAAGGTTTGGAGACGGCTTGAAAAACAGCCCTGCCCTTCCGAAGAACACCTAAGATCCTAACGCCCGCCCCTCCCCCCATCGAACCAGCCCGCTTCTGCGCCCTCGTATGCTTGGCGCCCTCCCGGCGACTGTCTCCATCTGAGCCCGCGTCAGGTGGCGGAAGTGGCAGACGGTGCGGGTGCGGACGCTGCGCTTGTAGGTCGCGCGCGCGCCGAAGATGTTGTCGACCCCTCGGGGCACGCGGCGGCACGGGCGCCGAGTCGCCGAGGGAGGCTGGTCCCCACGCGCGCCGCTCGGCGGCTGGCCGCGGAGTGGCGACGCGGGCCGATGCCGAGCGCGAGCCCACGCTCGGCTGAGCCTCGGAGATCGCGCTTCCAGCCCTCCCCGCCGAACACGCCTCCCGGTCCTGCTTCACATGCCCCTCCTGCTCCCTCTCTGCTCCTCCGTTTCTCTTCATCCCTCCCTCCTCCTCCTCCTCCTCCTCCGCCGCCGCCGCCGCCGCCGCCTCCTCCTCCTCCTCCTCCTCCTCCTCCTGCCCTTCCCCCTCGCTTCCTCCCCCTCTGCCGCCTCCTCCTCTTCCTACTCCTCCTCCTCCTCCTCCTCCTCCTCATCCGCCTCTTCCTTCTCCTCTTGCCAACACATCTCGCTGGAGACTTCCTTGCAAGCTGCGATCATACTGGAAACGGGGCCCTCGCCTGAATGGCGGACCCATGAGGCGATCGTCTTTCGGGAGGCGCGCCCCGCAGGGAAGAGCAATAACTGCGGGAGCAGCAACTACTGCAGAAACTTCTTAAGAGACTTTGGCACGACAGGTTGCTCTTCAGAATCATTGTAGCATCCAAGGTTTCCTCTGGCACTCCTCCTCCTCCTCCTCCTCCTCCTCCTCCTCCTCCTTCCTTCCTTCCTTCCTTCCTTCCTTCCTTCCTTCCTTCCACTCCCTTCTCATCCTCCTCCTCCGCTCCCCCCTCCACACCCCTCATTACCCCCCCGACACCCTGGCGGCCTTCTGCCGTGGCCCACATCGTTCGTGGACAATCACAAGGCCCGGAAAGAGCCTTGAGATCCACTCTCCCCCCCCGCCCCGCTCCCCCATCCCCCCGTGACGGTGGAAGCGCGCCGCTCGCGCTGACGGGGGAGGAGGAGGAGGAGGAGGAGGAGGAGGAGGAGGAGGAGGAGGAGGAGGAGGAGGAGGAGGAGGAGGAGAGGAGGTCGAGGAGGAGGAGGGAGGAGGAGGAGGAGGAGGAGGAGGAGGAGGAGGAGGAGGAGGAGGAGGAGGAGGAGGGGGGGGGGACGAGGGCCCTGGCAGAAGCGGATGGCGCGAGTCGGGAACATCGGCAGCAGACCAGGCTGGCCCCCCAGGCCTATGCACTCGCCGGGCTCCAGGAGGGGCCCGAGCACCACCCCGTCCACCTGAGGCGGGGCGGGGGGGAGGGGGGGGGCGGAAGAGGGGAGAAAAGGTGAAGAGCAGGGGGGCGAGGATGGGAGGACAGAGGGACGAGGAAGAGGAGGTGGAGGATGCCGAGGAGTAAAGGCACAGACGCCTCTCCACGCTGCCCCCATGGTCAAATTGCCGAGACAGCGGCGGCTTGACGCCTCCCTCGCGGGAGAAACTGAACGCATCGGGTGAGATAGGGGCCTTGTCGCCAATCACCCGCTGCCCCACCTGTAGCATCCCTCGCAGCCTTTCCCGTTACTGCGGGGGCTGCGCTGGCATGGTTCATATGCTGATCCGCCGACCCTTTCGGCGTGTGGGAGAGGCTTGTCAACCCCATCGCAGGGTCCGCTCGTCCTATACGGTGCTCCAACCGAATTCAGTTCAATCGATTACAAGAAAAGCCCCTTCCATGCATCATTTCCTCATGGGTAGGGGCCCTGGGCAGGTCCCCCCACCCTCTGGGGTGTCTCTCCCCCCCCCTGGGGTGTCCCCCGCTCCCAAGTAAAACGGATGCCCATCCCTCCTCCACCTCGTCCCCTCTCTCTCCTCACCACCCTCCTCCCTCGTCGTCGTCGCCGCCCTTCATCCCCCCGCTGGTCCTTTTCCATCCCTCCCCCCAGGAAGTCCCCAAGAGGACCCCACCATGGTACCCAAGACAGAAGACAAACTCAGTATGTACCCAAGGTTGTTCCAGGTTGTTTGCGTTCTCGCCTCTTCTGTGATCCAGCGGTTCAGGACGGCCAAAGAGGATCACAATATTGTCCCAAGAGTGCCCGAAAGGGGCCCCCAAGAGGGCCCTGATAGACCAAAAGACGGCCCACGAGGCCCCCAAGATTGGCCCGAGAGGGGGAACACGAACTGGCGTGTCGAGCCCTGCTCCCCAGGATCATCTCCGACACCGCCAGCAGGCCTACACGAGGCCACCCGTAAGGCCCCCTGGGGCCCCCAAGAGGCCGCCGATAGGCCCTGGAAGGCCCCAAGAGGCCTCCGAGAAGCACCTCAGCATACGTTCTCACAGCCATCGGCCTGGCCTGAGGGACGATAGACAAGAAACGAAGCCCCGATCTTTCCCAGGGGTAACGCATAAGGAACGATATAACCAAAATCACGCCGAGGGAACGATAAGCAACGCATGCGAACCTAAGGAACGATCGAGCCCCTTTTGAAAAATATATGCTCCTTATTCAAGCCGCTCACTGCATGCGTTCAAGAGGCCTCTGGCCCACGACACAAGCACTGTGGTGGGATGGACCGAAGGCCACCTCATTCGCCGCCCCATGTGGCTGGCCGCGGGTGTGCCCAGCGTGCTTAACCCTAGACGGTTTTGTCGTGGTTCGTTTTCCCAAAAAACTCCCACTGGGGCTTCGGCACGTCCCGCCGGCCATTCAGAAGGGACCACAGACAACGTCAAGGTCCGCAAAAAAGGGGAGCAGCTAAGGTGTCTCCCGCTGGCAAACTCGCCTAAGAAAAAATCAAGATGGCCTCCAAGACGGCCAAGATGGCCTCCAAGACAGCCGAGATGGCCTCAAAGATGGACCAAGAGGCCCCCACAATGTATCCAAGACGGCGAAGACGGCCCCAAGACGGCCCAAGATGTCGGTCAGACAGCCCACGAGGCCCCCAAGAAGGCAAAAGAGATCTCCAGGAGGACCTCCAGAAGGCCAAGTGGTGGTCCAATGATGTTGGCGTTCTCGCCTTTCAGGCTTCCGACGCTCCAGGACAGCCCCACATGCCCCCAGGATCGCGCCAAGACGGCCCGAAGACGCTCGGATGACGGCCCAAGATGCCGAATACGGCCCAAGAGACCCCCAACATGGCCCCAAGACGGTCCCACCGATATTCCCTTGCCCAGATCTCCCGCTCGAGGAGGTCTTGACAATACCTCTCCCGAGGCACTTCAACATCTCAAGCAGGGATGGCACATCGCCTTCGCAATCGCCCTGCCCACGCCTTGTTTCTAGGTATCGCCACGCCCGCGTGGCCTAAAACCGCTGGGAGAGGCCCGACAACCTTTGGGAGAGCCCCCGGAGCCCCTTGGAGAGCCTCTGGAGCTCCTTGGAGAGCCCGACAGAGCCTTTCAGAACAGCTTCAGTGCCCCGGTGGGAAATCTGAAGGCCCTTCGGAGACGCTACAAAGCTGAGCTGGAGGGCTTCGGGGCCTCTTGAAGAAGGCCTCAGGGCATGTTTGAAGGCTCCAAGACGGCATCCGAAGGCCAAGACATCCCCTAGGGGGTCCCAGAGGCCTCCAAGAGATCCCCAAGAGGCCCATAGAGGCCCCAGGAGGCCCCAAAGGCCCCTCAGAGGCCCCCAAGAGGCACCTCAGAGGTCACAAAGAGGCTCCAAGGAAGCCCCCAGGAGGCCCTCACAGGGCAGCAGGAGGAATCATCCCCTCTGGTCCCCGCAGGACTTTAGTGGTCCCGTGTAAGGTTTTGGTGGTCCCCGCAGGACTTTGGGAGGGTAATGGGCTTGGCACACACACCCTCCTCCTCCTCCTCCTCCTCCTCCTCCTCCTCCTCCTCCTCCTCCTCCTCCTCCTCCTCCTTACCTCTCCTCCTTACCTCTCCTCCTCCTCCTTTCTCGTCCTTTCCTAAGTGTCCCCCCAAATTGTTCCACAACGGCTGGGTGAGCACATAGTCCATTAGCGTCGCCAGACTTCGGCCCAACGCTTGGCCGCATTGGCGTTTCCAAAGGGGACAGGGCGGCGGTGATTCGCCGCAGGCGTCTTCGGTAGAGGTGGCCAATGCTTGATCTCTCCAATCTCGAGGTGCTCTTCAAGCCGTTCTGGGATGATCGTTGGTACGCGTTCGTGGCCCATCGGCTTCCTCGCGACCGTCCCGGGGCCTTCTGATCCCCCTTCCGGGTCGTCGGAGCCCGCCGTCGGGCCTCTCCAACACGGTTTCCGGCCGCACGCTCGACAAACGCGAGCCCAGTGGGGGAACAAAACCGACGGGCATCGAGCACAAGGGGGCCACCGAAGAATCCGAGAATGCCCGCCAAGGAATAGGCACGAGGCCCCACATGACTTCAAGTGCTACACGGCCCCGATCACTCCGCGGAAATGCGCGAAGCTTGGAGCAGCTGGCGCCACTGCAGCGGGCCAGAATTCAGACCTGACTGCAAGCGGATACACGGGAGGTGGGCCCCTGCCAGGCGCGGGCCAGAGATCCCAAGGGTTGTCCGTGCCAGATGAAACATCCTCGCCTGGACTGCTGGAAAATATGGCCGTTGCTCCCATTCTCACACGCTTTGCCGCCTCAAACCTTGTCATGGTACCCATCACCACTTGTCATGGTGCCCATCACCGGACGCCATGTCACCATGAGACCAGGTGCCAGAACTCGAACAGAGCGGACAAGATCCGAACAGACGGGGCCAAACTAGACCATACAATTCATGATTTGTAGATCGGATTGCAGCCGACAAAGAGATTACGGGTGGGGGATGCGGTGCGCATCGGTTCTACGTGTCCGCTACCGAAAGTATGACTCTGAGTAGTCATGTTTACGCGGGCCGAAAGATGTTCCTCTTGAGTCCGAGATGTCGGAAGCGCCATGCCTTCCAAGTGAACGGATGTATGTTGCGCTCGCTTGGAATCGGGGCGTGCCACCTGTTATGGAGGGAGATGCGGGAGTTGGCCGGGCCCGCTGAGGCGTTCGAGCAGCCGTCTGTTATGGGAGGAGCTTGCGTGATGGCCAGGCCCGCTGTTGCGCTCGAGCGCCTCTTCCCGCTGGTCCTCCTCCCCCTCCCTCCTCACGCCTTCTCCCCCTCCTGCCTCCTCCCTCCGCCTCCCGCTTTCCTCCTCCTCCTCCTCCTCCTCCTCCTGCTCCTCCTCCCACTCTTCCCTCCTCCCTCCCCCTCCCCCTCCTCATTTGTCCTCCTATATCCCCCTCCCACCTCCGTCCCCCGCTCTCCTCATCTCCCCTCCCCTTGCCTCCTCCCTCCTCCCCTCTCTTCACCCTAGGTGAACCCTTCCCAACTCCCCCGTAGAATCATAGCATTGGTCTGCAGAGCCACAGCTCGTGGATAACATGATGCCTCACGTGCAGCGCCTCGTGGATCTCATTTCCTGTGGGTCCAGGAGACTAAGTAGTATGAATTTACTTCAGGGGAAATTGGACCCGTTGGTTGTCACACACGGGAAAGTAGATACGCGTAGCACAGACACAGGGTCCACGAAACTGTTACACACCGAGGAAGGGTCCCAATTGGATCCACTGATGCTTTCATAATTCCATTCCAAGAGGAAAAAACACTTTCGGCCTGGGGATGTATGGTCAGGCTCTCCTTGCCGTGACGAATATGATCCTTGTTGCTGCAAGTTCCACACACGGTGTTTGCACATAGTGTTGTAAGGAACCGGTCCTGATTGTCGCCCTTTCTCGTGTGGCTGCTTGGACACTTCTGACTTGTTTCTAATGGTTTGGCCCCCCTGGCTTGGACCCCTATGGCGTCCCGCCCCGCTGGTCCTGGGTGTTGCACTTCTTCTGGTGGCTGCTTGGACCCCCTCAACTTGGACACCATGTAATTTGGGCCCTACGTGGCTTGGACTCTCATGACTTTGATCCCCATGGCTTCACGCCCAACTGGCTCTGAGTTTCTCACTGATTTCTCGGTGGCTGCTTGGACCCACAAAGAATGGACCCTTTATGGTTGTTCCCCTTATAGCGTTCCGCGCGTGTTTCCGATGGCTGTTTGGACCCCTATGGCTTGGACCCCATGGCTTGGGCCTCTCTGGTTTGAACAAGCGCCGACAGTCCCACGCGCTCCGGCACAACAGCGTGCGAAGGCCCTCGGCGGGGCACGCGCGCTGCCACTGGCACTGCACCGAACGCTCGTTTTCCGCCTCCGTGCACGTACCGATTGACGCACGCCACGCTGTGACTGTGGCATGCGGGATGCTGCGCCGCGCGAGAGAGTGGAGAGAGGAAATGCTGGGAGCGAACTGGGGCGCGGCCTCTTGGGATGGCAAATATAAA